CCTTAAAATCACCGTTAGTCACTGCACTGTTTTTCAGTCACGTGACAGTTCCAGTGAGAGAAAGGGAGGGAGGGTCCAGGGAGAGAAAGAAATTAGGGAGAAGTGAAGTTAGGGCTTACAGACTTCTCAGAGATGGCTCACTTTCCATCATTCTTTTAAAGAGCACCTAGTCAGCCCGGCAGATGTGGCTCAGTGGTTGAGTGTCTACCACTAGGAGGTCATGGTTCATTTCCCGGTCAGGCTCAATCCCCAGTGAGGGGCATGCAGGAGGCAGTGATCAATGGTTCTCTGTCATCATTGATGTTTCTCTCTCTTTTTAAATTAAAAAAAAGCACCCAGTCAGACTGTAAAACTGTAATGCCTCCTTAGTTCATGCATTGCTGTAGTACTCATCAGGGGATTTTAAAGATGGAAAAGGTAAGCGGTTATCTAATCCCACCCAATGGCTTGAAATCTCTGGCTGAACAAGAGAAAACAAAAATAAACAAAAACTTAAAATAACATGAACACAACCTGCCACTTCTCTGAGCAGCAGAGCCCACCGACACTCAGCGAGGCTTCTCAAGGCTGCAGGGCAGCTGGAGGTCAAGCCAGGGAGAGCCTCTCCATTTCCCACCGGTTCTAGGTTCCGAGTGAAGATGCCTCTCTGGACAGGCCACTGGCTTTCTTCCCCCGCAGATCCAAAGGAAACTCGGCCCCATCAAACGTTTTAAGCATCCACCTCTCTGGGGACTCACGCCGGGTCCTGTCAGCCAGTCTGTCTGCAGAGGCCTACTGTCCCCGCTGAGGGCATGGATTCCTCATCTCCCAGAGGAACCTCTCCTAATCCAAACACTCAGGCGGATAGTAGCAGCTCAGCAAGTGCAGAAAGATGGAAACAGATAGTGTGAACCCTGAAGCGCACACTCACGTGGATAAATAAGGAGGAGAAATAAGAAATGAGGTCCGCTTCCGTCCCTCCTTCCTTTTTCATCCCAGCCGGCAAATATCCTTTTGATTTTATGCTGGAAGGTGTTTGTTTTCAGGATGTTTTCCTCCTCCATTTTTTATGCGTGTCCCTTTCTTTTCGATTTTATAGGTACATGGAATATTTATGTGTCAGTGACCTTTGAAAGCAGCTTCAGAGATTGGCTGTTTACACTTAGGAATTTTCTTTAAGGTCTACAAAGCCCTTTGTGCTTTTTCCAGGAAAGGCACTCCATAAGAACCAAAACAAACAACTGCACAACTCACATCTGATTGGAGCCAAGTCTCTTAGGAGAGTAAGGAAAAAATGTTTGCATTTGTCTCTTCTTCCCTCCACCATCCCCACTCCCCCACCCCAACCCAACCCAGTCAAATCTGCTTGAGTTGTTGCTGCTTCCAGTCAGGTTCAGAATTGCTTGTGAGATGTTTATGGCTACATTGGAAGCCTCGAGTTGGAAAACATCTTGACACTGGGAGATTTTGCAAGGAACAATTTAAAAATGGTCCCAAAATGATGAAAACAGTACTCACGTTGCCAAGTCTTTGGGAAAATGTATCCCAGGAAATTTTACATTTGTCTCTATGACCATGGAGGATAGGGGGCTATTTTTGCTCTGGCCAAATTCCACATGACAGACTCTACCATTGAGGCTTACAACTGTTATTCGGGCCTCTAAAGGATTTGTCACAAATGGGGTGATGCCTGTGGTTAGTGTTCATTCAGAACTGACCAAATGGAATCCTACTTAGTTGTTTGCCTGGCCTCCCACTCCCTCTTCCCAGTATCATTTGTTCTGCAAAAACGTTTTTATGGGTTCAGGCAAGTGGAAGGGCTTTGCCTGGAGTTGAAAAATCCTATATTCACATTTTGTTTCTTTTCATTATGAGCTCTTTGACCTTGGGCAAGTTAATCAGTTTGAGTCTTGCTTATTCTGCTTGTACAAGAGTGATAATAATTCCTATCTATAATAATAAAAGTATAATATGCTAATTAAACCGGACAACTGAACTACCTTCCGGATGTCATTCTGAACATCCTTCCAGATGAAGCTGCCGCGTCGGGGACCAAGGCAGAGATGGTTAGGGGCAATCAGGCAGGCAGGTGAGTGGTTAGGGGTGATCAGGCAGGCAGGCAGTTGAGCAGTTAGGAGCCAGCAGACCCAGATTGAGAGAGGGATGTCCGACTGCCAGTTGGCCCAATCCCACAGGTCGAACATCCTAAATCAGCAGTCAAACATCCTCCAAGGAGTCCTGGATTGCAAGAGGGGGTGCAGGCTGGGCTGAGGGACCCTCTCCCCCACCACCCCTGAGCACAAATTTCATGCACTGGGCCTGTAGTCTACAATAATAAAAGGGTAATATGCTAATTAGACTATCGATAGATGTCTTCCAGACGTCATTTTGGACATCCTCCTGACGAAACTGGAGCCAGAGGGAAGCTAGCCCGAGTCTCAGGTATCTGCTGGCAGCTGGAGGAAGCCAGCCCAGGTCCCGGGTGTCTGTTGGTGGCTGGAGGAGGGAAGCCCAGGTCCTGGGCGCTGGAGGGAAGCAGGTCCTGGCAGCCAGGGGAAGGAAAACCTACTCTTGCATACATTTTCGTGATTGGGCCTCTAGTCTTGTATAATAGATGCGAGATAACAAGGGGAAAAGTTCCTGGTATAGTTCTGGACAATTCTATCAATCAACAAATAGTAACTTTCTCTATGCCATTAAGCTCTCTGAGATCTTTATGTGAAAGACTTCATAAAGCCAAAACACTGTGCCTTTTGGAGATCATGTGTTGCAAAAGCAACATTAATTGAGTTGTAGATGGAGGCTGATCAATAAGATGGATAATTCTCCCAAATGGAAATGACTTTCCCCCTGGCTCCTGCCACAGCAACGAGGAGCCCACCTCTCCAGGGTGGTGGCTGCACAGTGAATGCTGTAACCAGACTGGGTCTCTCTCCCACTCCAAGTTCTGGTGTCTCTAAGGCTCCTTAACATTTAATAACAGACATGATAGGAATCTATAGATTCCCATAGAACTAAGATTATTGCCCTAGAATTTTGAAGTCATGATATGTACAAGAGGTCAACTCGGTGATACATCATGAATCTATAATATTAACCCCAGTATTTTCTTCTACTACCTTCACAAAGATTAAGTGGAAGGTTTCATAACATGTAGTAGAGGCCTGATCTAGAAATTCATACAAGAGTAGGCCTTCACACCCCCAGGGGTTGCCTCAATCCCTCCCTTGCAGCCGCGGCAGCTGCCTCGATCTTACGGCTGCAGGACTGGCTTCATCTAGAAGGTTGTCCGGAAGGACATCTGAAACCACTGTTCAGTCAATTTGCACATTATGCTTTTATTATTATAGATGATGTATGTAAGTCGGCTAGCAAGCAGGTGGGATGTCAAAGGAGATGAACCTCCATCACACCTGTCCTCCAAGCCACTTAGTGAACTCTGGTTCTGGGGTCTGTGTTTTTTGTGTCTTCCCTTCTTCCCCCTGCCCCATGGTAAAAATTCACACTTAAGAGAGCAGTGGTTTTGTTTGGGAAAGAACACTTAAAATGAATTTTTAGAATTAAAAAATCCTCAAGACCTTACCAACACATATGACTGTACAGTACAATACAAACGTTAAGACCCTTTAAGTTAAAAAATCCAATTGCAAAGCAAAATCAAATCAAATGAGGGCTGTGTGCCAGTCACAATTATGCTACTCCACTTATTGTGCAAAAGGGTTAGTTACGTGAGTGTGAAGTGTGAAGATGTTTTCCCCTAAAGCTTTGTTAGAAGTGACGTAGCTTCTGTTCACGAGGGTCCTAAAAATACAATAATATGACCTCCAACCCACAGAGGAGATAAATATTTGCCAAACGAACGAATGAATGAATGTTCCTTTGGAGTTGCACTGAGAAGAAAAGACAGGCTACTGGATGCGAAACCTTAGACTATGTAAATGAGATCTCTTTGCCGAGGCCCGGGATTGCGGTGCTGGCCTTCAGGAGAGGAAGCCTCTGTTGTATTTCAGCTCCAAGACAGGGAGCGTGTGCTCCTGGAAGGTAAGGGCCAGTGACCTTGGGTTCCCGGGACCTCACAACCCAAGTGCTGAGAGATGTGGAGGAACAGCTGGAAGGAAGGGGACAGAAGGCTAAGGTGCACTATCATAAAACAACATTCGAAGATTTTAGGAAAGATAACGTTTCTCTTAAAATACACATAAACCGAAGAGAAAGGGACATAGGTGAGACGCAAAAAGGATATCTTTTGTTATTGTGACACATGAAATCTGCTATTAAATTTTTTGTTTGTTTGTTTGTTGATTCTCACCTGAGGATATTCTTGCATTGATTTTTAGAGAGAGTGAAAAGGAGGGGGAAAGACAGAGAGAGAGAGAACAATTGGTTGCCTCCCATCGATGACCTGGGGCTGGGTATAGAGCCTGCAAGTGAGGTCCATGCCTCTGACTGTAATCGAACCCATGACCCTTTAGTCCATAGGTCAACCCTCTAGACACTGAGAACCAGCTAGAGGAGATTTTGATATTTTTAGGTGTACAGTACAGTGGTGATAGGTATATGTACACTGTTGTGCAAAAAAAGGGTTGACAGCGAAATTAGTGAATAATGTTGGCTTTCTCTCTCTTTCTCTACCTTCCCACTCTCTCCACCTCTCTATCTTTCTTCATCTCTCTCAGTTTGATTGGAAGAGTATGGACTTTCCTTTTTGGAGATTTTTAAAACAGCTGAGTCCTAAGGGGCTGGGAGACAGGGCCTCCTAAGGATGCCTTCTCAGCCAGACTTTTCGGGGAGGCAGCGTCGTGGCCCAGCACTGAAGCAGACATGCTGAGGAAAGTGTGTTCCAGCGGCCTTGGACGGAGCCAGAGATGCATCGATGCATTGTTCCCTGCAGACAAAGTGCGGGTCCCAGCACTTTGTCAACCCGAGTCTGCGTCATTTGACTTCTGAACTGGGGAGGGCGGTAAGTTTGCTTTAACCCAAAAACTGACACCACGGATGCTGCCGCGCGCCGCTCCTTTTACCTTGGGCTTGTACGCGTTCAGCATGGACATCTCCACGTTCTGGCCGCGGACGTGCTTGGGCTGCCGCTGCACGGGCGGCGACGAGGACTTCTGGCTGTTGCGGCAGACGCAGATGAAGAAGAAGAGCAAGGCGATGGCCAGCGGGATGGCCACGCTGGGCACCAGGATGTACAGGATCTCCATCTTGTTCTTTTCCTTGGAGTCCTTCGAATCTGGTGCGGAAATAAAAACGTAAGAGGAGAGCAAGAGTTATACATGCTCCAGTACCATGTATGCTATTACCTTGCAGAGTTTAAAGGGACCTCCTATCCTTTTATATACACAAGTCCACTATGAGGGAAAAAAAAGAAAAAGAAAAAAAGGAACAGTGGCTTATTACAATTTGTTTCCATCAACCCTTCAACATAATTTATTGAAGTTTAAAAGTTGAAAGTTCAAATGTTTAAAAATTGCAAAGGGAAATGATAAAGACTTCGCATGCGTATGGGTCCCCGTCTGAGGCTGCCTCTCCTTAGCCTTAGACCCACTTTTCTCTCACATCTTAAACATTAAACGTCAGGTGAACGCCCTGTATACATACATGAGCGTTCACGTGGAGAAAAAGGGCTCTTCTTCCACTGGCCGCCAGCCCAGATCCAACATCGCGACCTGATGTTCCAGGAAGCATGCGATTGTTTGGGCTTGTGTGGACACACAGCGCCAGTCCTGCATCTTCCAGAGGCAACATCACCAAAGGATCCTGGCCCAGTGTCCACAAACCCAGTGGCCTGAGAATATGGGGACCCGGAGTCAGGGCTGGCTCAGTCTCTGATGAGCTGTGTGACCTTGAATGAATCACTCATCCCTCTGGGCTTTTCTCGTCCTCGTACACCACGTGAAGTATATATTTTGGATGGTGTCTATAATTCCCTCCCATGCGGCACCATTTGTAGAAGTTGATACTTCCTTGAAACCCAAGAATTCTTCCTAAATGGTTTCATATGAACTCAGTAATTATGAGCGCTAACACTTGGAAGTGTATTTTTGAAATCTTATACACCCACTGTACCTACTGCTGCTTGGAAAAGAAGGTAATACATAGAAGAGAAGGACCTGAGGCATACATTTCTTTTTATCGGGTTGAGCCGGGTCTTTAAAACTAAGCACTTTAAAACAACAACAACAACAAAATAACTAAGTACTTTGGGCATATATTATTATTAACTAATTATTTGACTGATAAAATAAATAAGAATTATGAGACAGCTTTTATAGGGGTGGCATCATATAGGCCCTGATCACCAATAACCTCATCAATTATCTTGCTTAAGAAAATCCCAAGTGTGACAATAAAGATTGACACAAAATTCAGATGACTATTTATTTAACAAAAGGATTAACCAGGCATCCATTGACTCATCCTCCCTCTTGTTCAGTACGTCAATATACCAAAGCGACTAGTGACAAGCACTCTTTTTAGGGTCTGGGAATACAAAATTCGACACGTCCTTTGCCTTCAAGGAACTCATGGACTAATAAGGAAAACAGAGAAAAGATACAGTACGTTGTTGGCAATGCTATAAGGGAAGCATGAATACAGTGAAGAGACCCCCAAAATCCTCATAAATAGTGAGCTTCTCTCGTACATGTAAATGGGAATACACTTGCATGTACCTTCTTTGGGAACCCATGGTTCAGTGAGATAGAGTGCTAATTAATCACATCGTTTTCTCTCCACATAAACAGACTCAAGAAGTTAAGAAGGGGTACCCTAATCTGGGTGATGGGACTGTGCTCTCTGGGTTAACCTTCAGAGGGGTAAAAATCAATTAAAAACTAAGTCTTAATATTTATTGAGTATCTTCTACTGGCACAAAGTCATGTTAGCTATTATGATGGACAGGGACCAGGCCCTGTTCTAAGCACTTTTTATGAACTCATTCGTTTTACCCTCATAACCCATCCCAGGAGGCAGGTGCCATCATGATCTCCATTCTTCCAGGTGAGGAGCTGAAAGGCAGAGTGGTTCAGTAATGTACCCAAGGACATGCAGCTAGTAATTCAAAGGCTGGGACACCCCTCCCCCATCCACCCCGTGGTGTTGTGTCACAGCTCCTGCCCTAGCCACCACACCACACTGCCAACAATTTGAGAATGGCTGCTGTTGTGCACCTGTTTTCTCATGGTAAAGTTTCTTGCTTCACTGAAGTAGGAAGGACAAGGGAGGCCTCACATGTGTGGAATAACACCGAAGCTTTGCTGGACATGCTACTTTAGAACTCCCCACTGTACACACCGTAGCAAGTAAACAGATAACCCAGGCATCTCTGGGAGGCTATTCTAATCATTCTAGCCATTAGGAACCGGTCTCTTTTGTAACAAGTGTGTCTGCATGTGGGTGGGTGGGTAGATGGAAAAAAAAAATCACATGGAAGAGTGTCTACCGCAGGTCCCCCAGATAGACAGACAGATAGACAGACAGTTCTCGATAATCTATCCAGCTATCCTCTTTAGAAGCACTGTAGCACAGTGGTTGGCAAACTCATTAGTCCACAGAGCCAAATACCAACAGCACAACATTGAAATTTATTTTGAGAGCCAATTTTTTTAAACTTAAACTTCTAACACCACTTCTTCAAAATAGACTCGCCCAGGCCGTGGTATTTTGTGGAAGAGCCACACTCAAGGGGCCAAAGAGCCGCATGTGGCTCTTGAGCCTCAGTTTGCCGACCACGGGTGTAGCAGACATGTATGTTTTAGAGTCAGAAACTCTGCAGACTGCCTTTGTCGTTATCTGCATAACCTCCAGAAGGCACTTAGCCTCTCTGAACAAACCCACCTGCAAAATGGCAATCTTAATACCTATTTCATAGAATTGATATAAATAATAACTGAAGTATCATTGAAAGTATCTATTCTGTACCAGTTACAAATCAATCCCTCAGTCTTTACCCCTTACGCTTAGAGTAGGAAAGGATGCAGGGAAAAAAGTTTTGGACTGAGAATTTTAAATAACCGTAAGCAAGAATCTCTTCCCTTGTTCAGGCTTACTTGGTTCACGTGAGAGATAATGGTCACGTAAGAACCTCGGGAGATTGAAAACTGCCACGCAGTTGTGGGATGCTATGATTATCGTTAATATTATACAACACTTTCATATTTGTCAGTACCACAAAGGGAGAAAAATCCCTCTTGTTTTTCTTGGATTTCCAGTGAAATCATTATGAGGGTAACGATTACAAAAGAAACCCAGCTCATTTAGTCCTAACATAACGCTCGTCATTTTTTCTGGCCCGGAGTTTTTGCAACAAGGGGAAGCAGGGCTCTCACCTGTCTGGCAAACAAAGGAGTCTATTCTGTACATTCCATATCAGATTATTCTCAGAGCGCCTCTGACTGTAAATGAGAGGTCTGGGACAAATCCCCCTGTAGGTCTGCCGCAGAACAGACTTCAAGAAGCTGAATTCTTTGAACATAGTCACACTTGGCTCCTTCGGGTTCGTGGAGGATATGCAAGCGAGCACAAGGTCTTCTTGCCAAGTGAAATAATCAAGCAGAACAATACGTGGTCGAGTTGGAAGTGACAGAAAGCAGCTTCGGGCCCATTGTAAGTCTACCATACAACAGGCTCACTTTCCCACACAGCTCTCTGCATTTGGCCAGAAGGAGAGAGTCGATGTCTGGCTCAGAGAAAAATGTATAGAAAAACATTCCTCAGAACAAACTAATGTTACTCATGGAAAGTTAGGAAGCACACATTTGCCCAACTTCTTTGAAATGTCCTAGCATTTTTATTCATCATTTTAACCCAGTGCTGGGTGTTATCTTGACTTTACACACAGAGAAATGGAGGCCGAGAAAGAACAGATAATTTGACAAAACTAGAAAGAGTTCACGTCTGGGTTGGAATGCAAGACTGTCTGCCATTAATACTTCCATGCTTTATAAATTATATTACTAATAAAAGTTAACATGCTATAGGAAATTGCTTTTTATCATCTCCTTAAGAGTCCAAGGCTACTTCTCAATGAGGGCTAGTCTCCAGCAGAGATCATACATGAAAAAGAATCACATTAGAACAATGGACATTGTTCTTACTATGCACTTTAAAGGGTAACGGACACCTCCAGTGCATTGCAAAGAAAATTAGAACGGTGAAGGTTTTTTAATACTTTGGAATAACTGCTTAAAAGCGAAATGCACATATTAGTTACATCAAGTTAATCCTTGGGATTTTTGGAACCAACAATTTAGTCTGGATCACATGATTAATTTCCTTTTAAAAATCAATTTGGTATCACAGTTTACATCTGACATTCCTCTTTTATTTTTACAATGATATTCAATACTTTGATTAGTAATTAAATAAAAGAGAGAAAATACTCCTTTCTTATTCCTGAGCTAAAACAAGGTACACATAATTTCTCATTCAAGAAGTACTTCTATAAAATGAAACCTCATCTGGGATATTACTTTTGAGTTAAAACAAGAAAGTGCTCAGATTTGCAGCATGGCAAAGGTAGGAAGAAATCTTACAGGAACTCAGAATTTGAAGGAAATTAAATAAGTTCAATTATGATCTTGTTTTGAAAAAAAAAATCACAAAAAGTGAATAGAAATTGCTACCAATTATTGGTTGGAAACTATAAAATATGCTGGTTGTGATCAGATAGGGGCTGTGTTATTGATATTTAAGCAGGTGTCTGGAAGCCAAATGGAAAACCATGGTATTTGGGCCTTCAGTGGGATGCTGGGCCCAGCCATTTGTACTCTCAATTTAATGATGGGAATATTAAGTAGGTGATCTATTACCTTATGCATTCTTAAATGAATTCTTAAAATGGGACTCTGATAGGCCATACACAACAATTAAATTTTTTTCTCTGTAGAAAATGTTTTAATCGCAATAACTAGGAGGACAATAACACATTTGTGAACATTGAGAAAAATCTCAAAAACTGGAGTCTACCTGAGTTCACTAGAAGTTTCTAAAATTCCCAGGGCCTCCATTTTCTCCGCTATAAAAGGAAAGAGTTGGGCTAATCTTTTCTTTTTAATTTAAAAACTTTAAGTTATAGTAATGGCATATAAAAAAAGCTTATCATCTTAACTATTTTGAAGTAAACAGTGGTGTTAAGTACATTCACACTGTTGTACAACCGATTTCTAAAACTTTTTCATCCTGAAACAGAATTTCTATACTCACTGAACAACTCATTTCCCCTTCCCTCTA